CCCCCCCCCGGCGCTGGCGTCCGGCCACATCCTGGGCCAGGACAGCACCAGCCCCTGGTCCGAGATCTCCCCCTTCGTCTGCCGCGAAGCCTGGCTGCCCCCGCGCCGGCCATGTGCCACAGCCGCCCCGCGACCTGCACATGGGTTCCAGATGGCCAAGCTTCCGGCCAGGGCACGAACGGCCTCTGCCTGGCCACTTCGTCAACTGCAAGCGCCAGCTCTTGCCGTGGGGCTCCACATGTCGCTCCCCGCCCCCTGTGGAGGCAACTGTCGTTCCAATGTCTCGCCCCCCTGCCCAGCCTCACTGGCCGGGTCCATCCGCGAATCAAGGGTCTGTCCTTCACATGGCTTGCAAAGTGGATGCACGCAGCAGCCCCGGCTGCCTCGTTCCGCGGCAAGTCATCGAGCCAGTCGCACTTTCCGACCATAGCATGTTGCTCGGACACGCGTGGAGGCTGCCAGCAGCTTCGGGGGGTCGGCGACCATGCGCTTGTCGTTGCGCTCCACCTGCACGAGGTCCTCCCTTTTTTTTTTCGATCCCGCCGTAGCCCGCGCCACGTCAGAGCACCTCGCCCTGCGGCAGGGGGGAGGGGGGGGGAGATAACCTTTGCCAAGATGTCGATCAGGGTGTGTCATTAGGCACCCCCCGTCGACGGCCAAGTTGGATCGCTCGAGGCGTGGACAGTAGCGGCCTCTTGTGCATGGCTGCCTTTCGCATCAAAGCCCACCGGCTCTCTCTCTCTCTCTCTCTCTCCAACTCCGGGCCTTGTGATCTGCTGTTTGGTGCCGCCCCCGAGGGACAGCTCGGCCATGTGCACATGCCCAAGGGATACGGCCACACAGGGAGGATGCTCATGGCCGATGAGCAGCTTCGTCACGGCCGGCCTACACACCAAGCGACACACATCGGCCCCTGCTTCGACAAGCTGCGCGCTCATGTGGGCGTGTCCATCGGCCAAAGGGGCCGAGCCCCGCTGGAAGCCGGCCCGTCCGAGGGCGCCCGCAGACGTGTGCTCTTCCGATCTATGTGCACATGCCCAAGGGATACGGCCACACAGGGAGGATGCTCATGGCCGATGAGCAGCTTCGTCATGGCCGGCCTACACACCAAGCGACACACATCGGCCCCTGCTTCGACAAGCTGCGCGCTCATGTGGGCGTGTCCATCGGCCAAAGGGGCCGAGCCCCGCTGGAAGCCGGCCCGTCCGAGGGCGCCCGGCAAAACACGAAACCGCGATGCTGCTCAAGGGCCGGAGGGGTCACCCGGTGGAAGTCCCCGTTCAAGGAAGGGAGCACTTGCATCCTCATGATGGAAATGCCCCTCGGCCGAACCTCCTGCCAGGGGCTGTCGCTGTGGTCACTCCCCCCGTCGACGAACGCCCTCCCTGCCAATTGAATGGCAACTGCCCTGGCCCTCGTCGGGTCCTCGGGAGGGCTGGCTGCCCAAAGAAAAAAAAGCCCACGACCCCAAACGGCCATTCCCTTCGAGCAGCACCATGGGCCCGGTCATGAGATCGGAAGAGCACACGTCCCTCGGCCGAACCTCCTGCCAGGGGCTGTCGCTGTGGTCACTCCCCCCGTCGACGAACGCCCTCCCTGCCAATTGAATGGCAACTGCCCTGGCCCTCGTCGGGTCCTCGGGAGGGCTGGCTGCCCAAAGAAAAAAAAGCCCACGACCCCAAACGGCCATTCCCTTCGAGCAGCACCATGGGCCCGGTCATGCATCTGCCCTTGTCAGGGTCCCCCCCCCCCGGATGAGGGGCCCGATGGATACTGCCCTGGAGCTCGAGCGAGCTCGTCCACTGTGGACCCGAATGACACCCAAGCTGCCCCAGAGGCGGACAAGGCTAGGCAGCAAGCGACACAGAGGCACGGCATTTGTCGGAAAGGGATTGCCATATGGCTCCCCCCCCCCCCGCCCCATGGGGCAAGGGCTTCCATTCCCCGTCCGAGGAAAGCCCCGGGGCCCTCGATGCTGAGCCAGCCGGCCGGCAGGGCCGGAGCCTCGCCCCTTCTCCCGAGGACGATGCACCGTCCAGATGCTCGATGCACTCCCTGGCTTATGCCTGGACATGGGCCGCCGCGCACCGGATGCGCGAGGCTGGCCTGATTCCAACGGCCAGAAACGCACCACGGGCCAATCCCCTCCGCGGGCTGGAACATCCCTGCGTCTCCGGCTGTCCGTTTTTTTCGGTTCCATCTGTTCCCCCCCAAGCAAGCAAGCAAGCATCCCGCCCGGGTGTCCCTCTGGCGAAGGTGCAGGCGAGCCACCGCCCAGCCCCCGTCGCTCTAGACAGCTCACCTGGCCAATTCACGGCCTCCAAGTGAAGCACCCACGGGGATCGCACGTTTCTTGGCCATTCACAATGAGGCACCGAGTAGATGTCCCAGGGCTGCTCAAGCATCCGGATAGTCTCCTGTTCCTGTTGTGAGTCCATCTCACCCATCATCCCCTCGGGCGGCCGATTCATGGGCAGCGACCAGTGTGTGCGCTATCTGCCGGCCGGCGAGCGTTCACCCCAAGCGGCTGCCCTCCTCTTCGCTGGGCAGGCCGAGTCCCAGCAGTACGCCAGCACCAAGTGGTCCAGCCTTCCCCGGCATCGGTCCCTCCGGCCGGAGCATGCCGCCTTCCAGGCGCCCCGGGTGCGGGTGGCACCCAGAAGCCCCCCGGGCACCATGCGGCATGCAAGTCCCACCCCCCCCCAGCAACAAAGGGGAGGCACACCAGGGGCAAAGGTCCAGCCGGCAGGGCGTAGCCATCGCCAAGGTGCCATGCAAGAGGCGCTCACCGGACGGATCAAGCGATCGGGCTTTGGTGCATGGCACGGCGAGCGGTCTCTTTGCGTCGTGGCACGCGGGATCCGCCCCACAGAAGGTGCCGTGTGTTGTATTTTTTTATTTTTTTTCCCGCGCGCCCATGCACAGCCCTTTCTGGGATCTGCTCGACTTTCCGCCGGCAACGCGCGGCGCCCAGGCCCACGGCGCCAGGCCGGGGACCGAGCGTACAGGGGCCGCTATTTGTTGTATTTGCATGCGGGGGCATCCTTTCATGCCGCGTCCGTGGAACATGCCGCATCCGTAGCAGGTATGTCCTTTTTGCCCGCTGTGCCCTCCTGGGCTTTTGATGTTGCATCTGTCGAATATGCTAATCCCCGTGGCACACGTATGTTCCATTTCCCCCGATGCCCGCCGGGAAAGATCCCAGGGCGCTGCGCCCCTCACATGCCAGCATGCTCCCCACTGCTCCGCGGTGAAGGGGCCACGTCCGGGGCCGCGCGACACCATGCCATCGGGCCTGGCATACTCGAGGCAGGCCCCTGGCCCAGGGGCCGTCCGGTCGAGCACACAAGCATTGGCACAGGGGAATGGCCCAAGTTCAGAACCTCGGTGTCGTTGCAGCATGGCTCCGTTGAACAGGGGCTGCTGTTGAAGAATAGTATCGTGGGCCCGACGAGGAGGCATCCTTTCCGCCGGAACAATGCCCCGGGGAGGTGACAATGCCAAGCCCTCGGGGTGTCCCCCCCCGCCCTCAGCCGCCCGGAGCCCGGGTGTGAGCCGCACCCCGACTCGAGCTACTGTCGTTTGCCTGGGGGCCTGTTCCAGATCCGGGTGTTATTCGGATCCAACTCGACATCGCCCCTCGGGTCGCGCTTCGGCACACCGACAAGCCGGTCCCCGCAAGCGAAAATAGTCCCGCACGCCCCCCGTGGTCCCCATGGCGCCATAATGTCTGTTCCGCCCCCCTCATGCTCCAAGCCTGCGCGCGGAGTCCCCCACCCCCGGGGACCGTGCCGAGGTGCCTACCTGTGTCCGCCCTCTCGCGTTGTTACCCTGCGCCTTCGTCGGTCATAGGGGGCCCACTTTCGGGGGAGGGAGCGCGAGGGAGAGAGAGAGAGCGCGAGAGAGAGAGAGACAGAGCACGAGGGAGAGCGCGAGAGAGAGCGCGAGAGCACAAAAAGAGAGAAAGCGCAAAAGAGCCTGGCCGACCTCTCGACCATCTCGCGTTGGGATATACCACCTCCCCCGGTGCCTTCTTCCTCTTTCCCAGCAACGACGGCGGTTTCCAGCTGATGTATCCGCCGGGCGCCAGTCCTGCCCCCCCCCCCCCCCCCCCCCCCCCCCCCCCCCCCCCCCCCCCCCCCCCCCCCCCCCCCCCCCCCCCCCCCCCCCCCCCTGGCGCCTGGCACTCCGCATGACGGAGCTTTCCCCAGGGCCCCCCCGGCCCGAGACTGGTCACATCGCTCGAGCGCTGGCCGAAATGTGCCCGCATCAAGGGGGCCGCTCCTCTGAGCGCCCCTCCTCTGATCCAACGGGCCGCCACACAAGGGCCACTCTTGTGGTCAAGGGAGCCCGGACCTTCCCCACCCCCGTCTCCGGGCCGCGAGTGAGAGGCAATAGCGGGTGCCTGCCACGGCCGGCGCCCATCCTCCCACTCCAGAGCCGGCTCCGCGTGTCTCCTGCTTCTGCCGCAGCCTTGCGCCCCCTGCAGCTCCCCGGCAGGCCGACGCCCTGTCCTCGCCATGGGCTCATCCAGCCGGCGTGTGCCTCTCAAAAGGCGCCTGCCGCTCCGCCAACCGGCCTGCCTTCCTATCCCCGGGACACCTCCGCACATGCCTGAGCCCCCCCCCCCTCTC